GTGAGCCAGGAGTGGTGGCACATGCCACAGAGTAATCCCAGTACTCTAGAGGCTGAGACAGGACAATCACTATGAGTTTGAGACCAGCGTGGGCTACACAGTGAGCTCAAAGCTAGCCTGAACTACAAAGTGATACTCTGTCAAAAAAAAAAAAAAAGGAAAGAAAGAAAAGGGGAGGAGGAGAAGGTGACAGTGAGAGACCAGAGGAACACACACACTCCTATCTCTGGCCATGTGAAGCCCTGTACCATCTCAGGTCTCTGCCAGCAAGATGTCTGTCACCAGATGTGGCCTAATGTCTTTCAACCAGAACTGTGAGCTAAAACAAACCCTACTGCTTTATAAACTTATCCCACCTCTGGTATTTTATTACAGCAACACAAAACAGACTAACTCACGGAGCTTTACACAGAAGCTGGAGGATGGGACACTAATGGCCTCAGAAGAAGTTCTTGCCCCTGAAGGCAAAAGGCCTGACAGGACCATAGCAATCTAAGGCAACACCACAGTCAGGGTGCCTGGGCAGCTGTGGGTGGCTGTCCCGGTGCAGTCTGTGTTCGGAGACTAGCAAACACAGGTTCCAGCCTTGTGGACCAGCAGGACAGCTGAGTGGGGCCTGCTCTGCGGGCCAGGCAGCTCCTCCCTCCTGAGAACTATATTCTGAAGAATGGGTGTAGGGTTGCCCAGGTTTGCTTTTTGACATCAATGCCAGGGATTGGGGTGCAAATGCATTTTGTAAGATTCCCAGGTGAAGGTAAAATCCAGCAGGGAGAAGGACAACACCCTGGGCCCCTGGAAAGCAGGCCCTCGATGGGGAGAGGAGAAACAGGGGCAGCTGCCCTGAGGCATCTGTGGGGCGGCTGGGACTCTGGGTTGGCCACACATCACGCCCCATGTTGGAACCTCAGCCCCCTGCAGAAGAGCTGACAAAGTAGCCCCAAGAAAGCAGGTCAGGGCAGACGGCTGGACATGCTTTCTCCCCCTTGTGCCCAGAGCCAGGGCAGGAAGCCGGCGTCGTGACGCTGCGTGCTGCTCCTGCCACTCTCTGCTGCCCTCTGATCTCACCCACAACCCCCGGCCACCCCACAGCAAAGCATTTCCTGTGGGTGAGATAAGTCTCAGATCCTCCCCTATCGCAGAGATTTTATCTGCCCTCGGTGACATCACAGCTAAGGAGATGGTATCTCCGGTGCAGTGGGGAGGAGTGGCAGAGGACAGCCACAGCTACAGGAGGTGGAAAGCGGCCAGGCCAGATGCTCCCTAAAGAAAGCCAGGGTCAAGGTGGGGGCACTGGAGATGCCCCGGCATCACCAAGTGCCCTAAGCTATTTCATGACATGAAGAGACCCAGCCAGGGTCTTGCGACTGGGGCGTGCGGGTACAGTCGGAGGGACTGCGGCCACTGAGTCAGCAAAGCCGGGTGGAAGGTGCTACTCCCTAGGGCCTCAGACTCAAGGGGAGGCCAGCTCAGGCCCACAGATCTCTACTCCTTTCCCCTCTGACAACGGGAAACAGAGACATGAATGAGCTGCAGGGCGGGCGCCACATTATTCTCAGAGCTGCGTCCGCTTCCGTGCAGGGACACACTTGGCTGTGGCTGCAGCACTACGGGGTCGGGACCGCGAGGATCTACACTCTGCAGGTGTGGAAACCAAGGCAGAGGGGCTAAGCAGCTTCTGCAGGGTCACACAGTGCTGAGCGGCAGATCTGGGATCCCCAGCCGCCTGACCCCAAGCCCACAGTGTCAACAACGCACCCTGACTGGGTTACACTTGGCCTGGGGCTCAGTACATGTGGCTGAGGTTCTGTCCCAAGAAAAACAGCCCAGTGGCATCGTCGAGGCCAGCCTTTGGCTAAAGGCACACTCCACAGACTCCAACAGTCCCCCAGGAAGCCCCCAATATCTTCCCCATCCTAAAGCCTGGACCTTGTCCTGGTGCCCTGGGGAAGGGTCAGTAGAAGGTTTGCATGGATCAGGGTTCACAGATTTGGAAACTGAGGCCAAGCTGAGGGGACTTGCATAGCCACACAGCTGGTCGAGGCAGCATGGAGCCCTTATGACTTTGCTGGTCCCCTTTTTTACCCAAAGATGCCACATCTGACTAAGGAAGTGCCTGATGGCACCATCACCATGGGTTCCCAGACGGCAAGGAACATGACACCAAGCCGGGCACCCCCAACCGTCAGTAAGGGATGCCTTTGCCCTCCTGGACTGTCTGGGGTCTCCAAAGAGGCCCCAAAAACTCTCTCTGGACCCAGCCCCTCTGTTGGCCAGGCAGGACAAGGTCTCACCAGGCCCTTGGGTCCCTTGTGTCAGCAGCTACAAAGAGAAGCCAAAAGCCAGGTTTGGCCCTGAACTGAGAAAAGAAGGACCCCACACCCCCACCTCTTACAGTGGTCCTTGCTAGGGACCAAGAACACGGCCTTTGGAGTTGGCTGGACCTGGGTTAGAATACCAATCCTGCCACTTCCAAGCCATGTGGATCAGTGTAACAAAAACGGTAATTCCTACCTCGATTTAAAGAGTTAACACACAATCGTGGCTGGCAGCTACTGCCTGTAACTCCCTTTTATTATTGTATGTTCTAGGGCAGCATACAGACACGAATGTTCTGTTAACACAACAGTGTGTCACTGTTAACTTGAGTCGATACACATATCTACACAGAGAAATCTACATATCACTCATCTAAGCACACAGCCAAACTTGCACCAACAACATGGACCCCACAGAGCACCACCATGCTCACCACGTACCTGGTACGGCAGGCCCTTAATCCTTTCTATGGCCCGGGAGGCCAACACGTTCTACTCCCTCCTTCCAGACAGGACACCCAGTCCACGAGCAGGTCCTACTGCTCCTGGCTCCCCTACACTTCTGCGGCTGCGGGAACCTGAACTCCCTCCCTGCCCCTGCCAGGGGAGGCCACCCTTGCGTCCACAGTCACCTCCCGGGCAGCCCTCACCAGGCCCCAAGTGCCAACTGCCCTCCATCCCAGGACAAAGGCCCAACCTGGATTCCAGGGCAGCTGCGTTGGGGAAACCCCTGCTGCCTACAGAAACCTGTTGACTTTGAAAAGAGACAGAAGCCGGGGGTGGCTGGGCCACTCCCTTGGGGGCAGGTGCTAAGTAACTCTATAAACTCTGGCTAATAATGCAATTAGGGTCATAAACAGAGCCTCGGGAGAGACCAGGGCCAGCAGCGAGACCCCTGCCCCGGGCTTCCTGGAAACAGGCTGAGGGAGGGGTGGGCTCCTGCCTGCCCTGGCCCCTGGGACTGCCCCACGGCCCATCAGCCCTCCAAAGCCCTGCTGGCTCTCCTAGGCTTCAGGGCCTGCCTGAGCTGTCCTCCGCTCCAGCCCCCATCCCTTCCATGGGACCCGGGACCACGACTTGGGTCTGCATTTGGCTCCAACCCACAGGTCCGGTTAGGGACAAAACAGCCCGCAACTCTCAGGCTGTGCGCACTGAGCTACATTGGCTCCCCTCGGGGAAGCAGCTTTGCACTCTCACCCCAAACGGCCAAGACCCCTTCTGAGTCCCAGCCCTCCTGCCTCAGCAGCCAGCAGGAGGCAGAAAGGCGCCCTGGGAGTTGCTAGCTTCCCCCAGGAATGGAGAGACTGAGGCAGGGGTGCACCTCGGACTACCAGGCAGGGCCCCCAAGGCAGCCCACCCCACCCTTTCGCGCCTTTCCGGGCCAGTAACCAACGCTGGCTGTCACTCCGCAGACGGAGTTCCCCCAGGGCACGGCCCGGGGTGACTGCGTGCGTCCTGCCCTGACCCTGGGTCTGTCTGGAGGGCCTGGGCCAAAGAGCCGGGCCTGCGCCCCACCGCCCTGGAGGAAACCAGGGCCTGGCCCTCCTCACTCCAGAAACCCAAGAGTGTGGGGCCTGGGTAGGTGAAATCTGGCCAGGCGGGTGCAGGGGCCCAGGGCCACGACCCAGAGGCCTCGTCCCCGGCTGGATCGCGCACCCCCTCTGGAGCGGGAGCCGGCGGTCATGAGCCGACACTTCCCAAGGAGCGAGCGCCACGCCAGAGCGCAGCGCTCAAGTTGAGCCCAGAAACTGTCGGCGCGGAACCAAGCCCGGCACAGACCGGCGCGAGGACGGCGGGGCCGGGCCAGGCCAGGGCGGGCGGGGCCGGGACTGGGCAGGGCGGGCGCAGA